ATGTCACAGTTGTTTTTCCATCAATTTCTGCAAAACAGTGCAGCAAACATATCTTTCCTGAAATTTGGTGCTTGCCATTGACATTATTTCCACCATTACCTTTTGCCTTGGGAGTTTCCCATTCTCCCAGATCTTCTAATTGCTGCACTTTCTCAATAACTTCCTGAATTGGGCTTCCAGTTTCAGAGGACAATAAAATCACAATAATGTTCTTATATGCAGCTAGAGAAGCTTTAATAATTTGGTTACAGGTACTTGCATCCAAAGCAGTATTATATACAGTAGCTGGCCCCTGTCTATTACATAGAAAGATTTTCATACCCTCTTCCTTCAATCTTTGTATACACTCCCGTAGTATATACCAAGATTTGGTGCAGGCTGGCCAAGAGTAGGGTATTTAATTCCATGGCCTGCAGCATATAACTTTAGCAAAGCTACAGGTCCCTGCCCATGATTAATATTCCAATCACTGAAGTCTTGTTGAACTTCTGGGTCATGGAATATAGGGATAATTTTAATACAGTCTTGGTCATCTAGAACTACTCCATGACCCCCTGTTTCAGATAGTTGGATCAGCCAGCCTTAAAGTGGCTCTCCGGCCTGTTGCATGCTGTGGGACGGTATATCATTTATCTCTTCTGTATAATCCTTATGTATCATTTTAGTTGTGGGAGCATGGCTCCCTCTTTGCTCCATCTTTCCACGTAAAGCATGTTGTGCCTGACAAAGTTCTCCTTCCTTTGACTTTTCTACACTATCATCATCATCCATGTATATCCATCATCTTCCACATCATCCCAGATATCGCCGTCCCAGGTAGTAGGGTCCCAGTTAGGGCAGGCATGGGCCAAGACAACCTGTACCTTGTGTTGATTGACTTGCCCCTTGCGGTGAAGATAATTTGTATTTAGCCACATGCACTGCTGCTTTCTCTGACACTGTCTGCTATCTAGAAGCTTGATCAGGTAAGACTCAGTTTTGACATTGCAGCATAGCCATGTGGCTTTGTAAACCCAGCATTTCTTCTTTCATTTGTACCTTTTCAGTTTCCAATTCTGCCTTCCTAGTATGTGTTTTCCTATAAGCCGTGAACAAACACCAACCTCGTCTTCCAAAAAAGAGTCTGTTCCTTACCTGTTCCAAGTTAACCATGGGAAGCTGTTCCAACATGTCCAGCGGCTCAGCACACCACATTACAGTGTCCCAGTTTTCACATAGTCCAGCTCCCTTTCCCATTCCTGAGCTAAACTGCTAAAAGAAGGATCTTCCCAACTTGGAATAGGATCAACTTTCCCATGAAAAAGCAATAGTGTCTCAAAACCTGCTGACTATGCCAAAAATGATTTGCTTTGCTTCAGTGGTTCTTTTAAAGAATTCAAGATGTAGTCCACAGGTTGGCAACAAAAACCAATTTATTAAAGTATTTGAAGTGAAGTGAAGTCGCTCAGCCATGTCCGACTCTTTGTGACCCCATGGACTGTAGCCTACCAAGCTCCTCCGTTCATGGGATTCTCCAGGCAAGAATACTGGAGTGGGTTGCCATTTCCTTCTCCAGGGGATCTTCCCGACCCAGGGATCGAACCTGGGTTTCCCCGCATTGGAGGCAGACGCTTTAACCTCTGAGCCACCAGGGAAACGGCTAGTACAAATCAAGGATCAAAGTGAAAAGAAAGAAGTGAATTTATAATAGCATTTAGCAAATGAATCTCACCCGTCCAGGGGAAAGCATCATCATCGGGCTCACAGCAGCTGGGCAGTCGCCGTGGTCAGTGCACCAGAGTCCCAGTGGGGGCACCATCCACTACATGCATCCATGCATGGAAGGGACCTCGCTGTGAGTCTGGGTGTGTGCCATTTTATAACTTACGAAGTTCTTTGTTCTCAAAGGAGTTCAAAGAGTTTGCGCATTTGAGAAATGGAACAAAACCTGATTGACCCCTTGATTGTCCAGATCAAAGGAGAAAAACGGTATTCCCCAAACCCTACTGTTCCTGATCTTTATGTACTGTTGATGCTTTTCCCCTTTCTTAGTGGATGTTTTCATGATGCTCCCATTCTTCATGATGTTTAAGTACACAAGTTATTTAAGTACAAATAATGTCTAAGAACACATGTTGTTTGGGTACAAGCAATGAACACAGTACATTATGTCACCATCTGGTACATGCTTCATCAAAACAATGACCTAATGATGTAACTTTAAATTATTATTATTATTTTTTTTGTAATTTAAAAAAATTAAACTTTAATCTTTTAAATCCTTAGATCTGTGCCCCAATTTTAATCATTTGACAGTGATTAGAGGATAAAAATAAAAGTTGTTTGCTTACTATTTCAGGACCTTCTATAGTTCAATTTTATGTGCCCCTTTTGTTGGCCCAGGCAGTTTGTTCACTGCCATTTAGAACGCACCATGAACTGGCACAAAGACAGAAATACAGATCAATGGAACAGAATAGAAAGCCCAGAGATAAATCCACGAACCTATGGTCACCTTATCTTCGACAAAGGAGGCAAGGATATACAATGGAAAAAAGACAACCTCTTTAACAAGTGGTGCTGGGAAAACTGGTCAACCACCTGTAAAAGAATGAAACTAGAACACTTTCTAACACCATGCACAAAAATAAACTCAAAATGGATTAAAGATCTAAATGTAAGACCAGAAACTATAAAACTCCTAGAGGAGAACATAGGCAAAACACTCTCCGACATAAATCACAGCAGGATTCTCTATGACCCACATCCCAGAATTTTAGAAATAAAAGCAAAAATAAACAAATGGGACCTAATGAAACTTAAAAGCTTTTGCACAACAAAGGAAACTATAAGCAATGTGAAAAGACAGCCCTCAGATTGGGAGAAAATAATAGCAAACGAAGCAACAGACAAAGGATTAATCTCAAAAATATACAAGCAACTCCTCCAGCTCAACTCCAGAAAAATAAATGACCCAATCAAAAAATGGGCCAAAGAACTAAACAGACATTTCTCCCAGGAAGACATACGGATGGCAAAAAAACACATGAAAAGATGCTCAACATCACTCATTATCAGAGAAATGCAAATCAAAACCACAATGAGGTACCATTATACGCCAGTCAGGATGGCTGCTATCCAAAAGTCTACAAGCAATAAATGCTGGAGAGGGTGTGGAGAAAAGGGAACCCTCTTACACTGTTGGTGGGAATGCAAATTAGTACAGCCACTATGGAAAACAGTGTGGAGATTTCTTAAAAAGCTGGAAATAGAACTGCCATATGATCCAGCAATCCCACTTCTGGGCATACACACCGAGGAAATCAGATCTGAAAGAGACACGTTCACCCCAATGTTCATCGCAGCACTGTTTATCATAGCCAGGACATGGAAGCAACCTAGATGCCCATCAGCAGACGAATGATGAGGAAGCTGTGGTACATATACACCATGGAATATTACTCAGCCATTAAAAAGAATTCATTTGAATCAGTTCTAATGAGATGGATGAAACTGGAGCCCATTATACAGAGCGAAGTAAGCCAGAAAGATAAAGACCATTACAGTATACTAACACATATATATGGAATTTAGAAAGATGGTAACGATAACCCTATGTGCAAAACAGAAAAAGAGACTCAGATGTATAGAACAGACTTGTGGACTCTGGGAGAAGGCGAGGGTGGGGTGTTTCAAGAGAACAGCATCAAAACATGTATATTATCTAGAGTGAAACAGATCACCAGCCCAGGTTGGATGCATGAGACAAGTGCTCGGGCCTGGTGCACTGGGAAGACCCAGAGGGATCGGGTGGAGAGGGAGGTGGGAGGGGGGACCGGGATGGGGAATACATGTAAATCCATGGCTAATTCATTTCAGTGTATGACAAAAACCATTGCAATGATGTAAAGTAATTAGCCTCCAACTAATAAAACAAATTCACAGACACACAAAAAAAAAAAGTAAAAAAAAAAAATAGAATGCACCATGGGATTCCTATTGTGCTTGCTTCTATATTTGCAACTATTATGGCTTTCTTTTTAAAACATCATCTATATGTTATTCATATTTTCAGACTCAGTGTTCTTTTATTTATATCATTATTTCCTTCTCAGATAGTGTCAGTGGTCCCCAACCTTTTTGGCACCAGGGACCAGTTTCATGAAAGAAAGTTTTTCCACAGATGGGAGAGGGGGATGGTTTTGGAATGATCCAAGTGTATGATATTTATTATGCATTGTTTTCACCTATATTTTATTTTCTATCACCATAAAAGATGAACGTTGAGTTAAGCAATATTCTATCTATATTGATAGTGATAGCTTCTAATTCTTGGCATATAGTACCAAAAATATCTGCAATAGAGTGTATGGAAAGTTGTTATGATATTTCTTTGTTGGGACATACTTTTAGTCCTTAGAGTAACTTTAAATTATTAAGCAACATTTTTACTATTATTAAATAAACTTTTGTTACTATATATTATTATTAAATAACATTTTTAATATTATTAAATATTATGTAATATTATTATTCAATAACATTTTATTATTAAATAACATTAAGATAAATTATTAAATAACATTAAATTATTAACCATAGCACTACAAAGTGACACCTAGGAGGCAGGGGCTGTAACAGTCCTTTGGGCCCTTAAGAGGCCAAAAGATTCTAACTCCAACCACTAAACTCAAAAAAGGGAATCTGTGCTTCTGTCCTCAGAGTAAGCCCATTTTTCCTGTTGGCATTAAAATTTTACATCACTTTCTTCCTGTCTCATGAATAGGTATAACAATTCTGCCATGAAGGGGTGGTGTGTGAGTTGATTGACTAATCGGAAGAGATGGAGACAACTACTTTCAGATTTTTAATGGTCTTGTCAGAAAAAAAACAAATTGGTGATGTCTAGTTCCTGGGCAATAAATCTACGTGGTCTAAAATCCCAAGAAGAATGGAGAGGGCTGACTCTGAATGATAAATTCTCTATCTGTTCAGCCCTGTCATTTCCCAGCGCTTCTTACCTGGAACAGGCAGCAAGAACAAGAAGAGCAACGCAATGAGAAGGTAGTTGACCCTCATGGCTGGCTGGCTTCCCAGCTGAGACTGGACAGGACGGTGTGCTCGCTCACTTTATAAAGGCTCCAGGTCCACAGCCATAGGGATAAGCATTCAGCAGCTGCAATTCCTGTAATATTACAGTGATGACAATATGACGTATTTCCCGATGCTTCATGCCAAGGTCCCTTACAAAGCAGACCACGCCCATTCCCCCCAGGAGTTAATTACAAACCTCAGGGAGACTCAGAGCCTGATGTGAGCACAGGCCTGTTCTGATGCCTCTGAGCTCTGGGTGCTCGTGTAGGGCTGGCTCATGTCTGGCTGGCTGAGACGGGAAAGACCTGACCACTCCTGGATGCAGTCCTGGGGCATGTACTGGGAGCTCACCTGTGCCTACTGTGGTCCTAAGCTTTTGCCTTCTTCCTAAAGTCCTGGGAGAGCCCAAGGGCTGCTGGGAGCCACATCAGTCCAGTCCAAGGCTGGTGTATTCAGAATCTAGGTGTAAACTGGGGCTGGGTCACGCCCTAAGCCTGCACAAATACTAGAAATGGTTATGAACCAGGATCAGCTTTTAAGTAGTGTGGGAAGGGAGTGAAAGTGGACTGCATTCTGGAGACCCTGCCCTTGTGTCCTTGGCCTGTGATGGAGTGTGACATCTCAGGTCAAACACAGCTTATACTTTACTGTGGTCTGAAAACCACCAAATTCATATCTCAGGAAGGTGTCTCATTTTCCTTTATCAGAGACAGATGGATGATGTTTTTAATGTGCTGGCGTCTCCTTCCTGATGGTGTCACTCACTCTACAAATGAGCGGATTTGGAAGATATATTTATGACTTCCTCCTCCTGAGAAAAAGAAGGAGGTTTCTGTGCAATTTTAACAGAAAGAACGAGGTTTCTGAGAAAGTTCGAGGAAACAATGTGATTTGTGGGAAAATCCTGACATTAAAAAAAAGAATGTTTCTGAAGAATCCTCAGAGTACAAAGTAAGTTTCTGAGGAAATTCTGACAGAAGAAGTTTTCTGAGGGGAATCTGACAGAAAGATGGATGTTTCTGAGGCTATTTTGAGAAAGAGAAAGCAGTTTCTGAGGGAATATTGATAGAAAGATGTATGTTTTTGAGAGAATTCTGACAGAAAGAAGGATGATTCTGAAGGAATTTTCACAGACAGAAGGACGTTTCTGATGGAATTCTGACAGAAAGAAGGAAGTTTCTGATGAATGATGAAAAGTAGGAGATTTCTGAGGTAATTCTGACTAAAAGAGTGATTTTTTTTAAAGATTGTTTTCATCTATAGGTTTTACAGAATATTGAGTAGAATTTCCTGTGGTATACAGTAAGTCTTTATGGGTTGTCTATTTTATATGTAGTTGTGTGTATATTGTTTTTCTTCAATCAGTAGTTGTGTCTGACTCTTTGTGACCCAATGGACTGCAATATGCCACACTTTCCTGTCCTTCACTATCTTTTGGAATTTGCTCAAATTCATGGCCATTTAGTTGATGATGTTATCTAACTGTCTCATTCTCTGTCACCACTTCTCCCTTTGCCTTGACTGTTTCCCAGCATCAGGGTCTTTTCCAGTGAGTTGGCTCTTCACATCAGGTGGCCAAAGTATTGGAGTTCAACAACAGTCCTTTGAAAGAATATTCAGGGTTAATTTCCCTTAGGATCGACTGGTTTGATCTTCTTTCAGTCCAAGGGACTCTCAAGAGTCTTCTCCAACACAACAGTTCGAAAGGATTAATTCTTTGGCGCTCAGCCTTCTTTATGGTCCAACTTTCACATCAGTGGTGACTATTGGAAAAACCATAGCCTTGACTAGATGGACCTTTGTTGGCAGAGTGATATCTCTGCTTTTTAATATGCTGTCTAGGTTGATCATAACTTTTCTTCCAAGGACCAAGTGTCTTTTAATTTCATGGCTGCAGTCACCATCTGCAGTGATTTTGGAGCCCAAGAAAATAAAGTCTGCCACTGCTTCCACTTTTCCCCCTTTTATTTGCCATGAAGTGATGGGGCTGCATGTCATCATATTAGTTTTTGAATGTTGAGTTTTAAACCAGCTTTTTCACTCTCCTCTTTCAGCCTTATCAACAGGCTCTTCGGTTCCTCTTCACTTTCTGCCATTAGAGCAGTATCATGTACATATCTGAAGCTGTTAATATTTCTCCCAGCAATCTTAATTCCAGACTGTGATTCATCCAGCCCAGCATTTCACATAATGTGTTCTCCATATAAATTAAATAAACAGGATGACAATATGATAGATATACATTGAACAATGTCGAATTTGTGATCTCTGAAGAAGATTTAGCTTTGGGACTAGGGACCAGGCTTGATCACTCAAGAGCTTTTGTGTAGCAGAGTTTTATTAAAGTGAAAAAGGACAGAGAAAGTTTCTGGCATAGACATCAGAAGAGGAAGTGCCCCACTCCTAGTCTTATCAAGGCCTTCTATAGTTTACCAGGCCCACTCCCACAATATACAAGATTAGTCAGAAGGTTCATGTCGAGCAAGATACCTTGCTGTTATATAATCATTAGTACAGAGCTTAAGGAAAAACATATCCTTGAGCAAGATGAGTTGTTTTGTTGTGTAATCATTAGCTCTAGGTTTAAAGAAAGTTAGTCTTAAAGACTGTTGTCGTAACAACTCAGAGTTTAAGAAAAAATGTTTTATGTGGCTAAGACAAAGCAATATAGAAAAAAAACATTTGTCCCTTTTCTCCTCCTCGAGGGCTCTGGACTCCTTGTCAACCTTCCTAAGGCTTAGCTCTCTCAAATCTACAGCCTTGTCTTACTCCTTTCCCAATTTTGTACCAGTTAGTTGTTCCATGTAGGGTTCTGTTGTTTTTTTTCTCAGGGACAGGTGGTTGTCTGATCTTCCCATCTCTTTAAGAATTTCCCAGAGTTTGTTGATCCACACAGTCAAAGGCTTAAGCATAGTCAATGAAACAGAAGTAGATGTTTTTCTGGAATTCCCTTGCTTTGTCTATAATCTTACAAACGTTGGCAATTTCATCTCTGGTTTCTCTGCCTTTTCTAAATCCAGCTTGTACATCTGGAAGTTCTCAATTCACATACTGTTGATGCCTAGCTTGAAGGATTTTGAGCATAATCTTACTAGCATGGGAAATGAGTGTAATTGTATGGTAGTTTGAACATTGTTTGGCATTGCCCATCTTTGGGATTGGAATAAAAACTGACCTTTTTCAGTCCTGTGGCCACTGCTGAGTTTTCCAAATTTGCTGACCTATTGAGTGCAGCACTTTAACAGCACCATCTTTTAGGATTTTAAATAGCTCAGCTGGAATTCCATCATCTCCACAAGCTTAGCTGGTAGTAATGCTTCCTAAGGCCCACTTGACTTCACACTCCAGAATGTGTGGCTCTAGGTGAGTGACCACACCATCATGGTTATCCAGGTCATTAAGACCTTTTTTGTATAGTTCTGTATATTCTTGCTACCTCTTCTTAATCTCTTTTGCTTCTGTTAGGTCCTTACCATTTCTGTCCTTTATTGTGCCCATCCTTGCATGAAATGTTTCTTTGATCTCTCCAGTTTTCTTGAAGAGATCTCCAGTCTTTCCCATTCTATTGTTTTTCTCTACTTCTTTGCATTGTTCATTTAAGAAGTCCTTCTTACCTCTCCTTGCTATTCCCTGGAACTCTGCATTCAGTTGGGTATATCTTTTGCTTTCTCCCTTGCTTTTTGAGTCTCTTCTTTCCTCAGCTATTTGTAAAACCTCCTCAGACGACCATTTTGCCTTCTTGTATTTCCTTTTCTTTTGGATGTTTTTGGTCACTGACTCCTGTACAATGTCATGAACCTCTCTCCATAGTTCTTCAGGCACTCTGTCTACCAGATCTAATCCCTTCTATCTATTTGTTGTATGTATATGTCAATCCTAATCTCCCAATTTATCCTTCCCTCTCTTGGAACTTGCTATTCTTTTCCTTCTTTCTATAAGAAAATGATCCTCTTTAGTGTTTCTCCTAAATAATGATTTTGGATACAAAAGTGCCTTAATTCCAGCTGAGGAACTCATGAGGCCTTGGGGCAAATGTTAGCCTTTCTATTTCTCTAGTATTCTGAATAAATTTGATGAGCTCATATGTGTTTATGACACAATTGCACACATTTTGGGTTGAGTTAACAATTACAATTACTCCTCTTCTTTTGTTGTTTTGAATTATAGCCAAAGACCTATTGCTTAGAAATGATTGGGGAGGGTGACTACTTCACTTATGGACATCTTGCTGATGATTTCTATTAGTTGAGTCATGAAGATGTATGAGACACCTGAGGCTGTCAGTTTACATATATATATGTATTATATGAATTATATTTATATGCATTACTAGAATTTAAAATACCAATTTCCAATTTATTGTCTTTATTTAACTTTAGTCAACTCTGCTTCATATTAAGTGTTAGTTTTATAGAAAAGGGAAACCAGAACCATCTACATGAGTTTTATTTGAAAATCACTTCCATTAGTATGCAAGCTAAACCTGTATTTTCAATGATTATGTATATTCCAATTTATCATATATTTATTAATAGTGTATATTTATTATATTTTCCCAATTCTTTTATCTAATGCTGTGTAGTCTGCTAGAAAAGCTACAACTTCTTAGCTGTTTGGGAAACTGAAAACTGTCAAAAATGGAAAGAGGCTTTTAGCTACGAGGTGTCATGGTTTGTCTTTTCTTGAGTGGAACAGTGATGGCTAACTTACATTTTGTTAAGGTATAATAACATAGGATTAGGAGGCAGAGTCTGCTTTGCTGAGCCCAGATGTTTTACTTCTTCAGGCTTATCACCTCCTATTCTATAGTTGACACAATTTCCCATGGTATATGCCAATTCTGGTTTTATTGAGCATATGAATCTAAAATAATACAGTATCTTCTGTGACAAACTATGTCATATTTAAAAGCTTTTTTTAACTTTTAAGTTTTCAAAAATGTAATAAAATGATAAAGTGTTCATTAAATATAACTAAAAAGGAACCTATCTGTTCATATCATTCAAATCTAACATGGACTTCACTAACAAAATTGTTTCTTTATTGAATCCTTGTTTTATTTTGAGTGGATTAGACTAGTAAGGGAAAAGAGAGAATAAAATAAACTAGACAAAGATGAAGGATTTATTTCAAATTGCCATTCTAGAAATTTGTGTGGCAACCAACCTCTCTTTTCAACCTTTGACATTTATCTCTAGTCCTCCTAGAATATAACTAGTCTTCATCCTCTCAGTTTTGAGGTTCTTCAGTTACAAAGGATATCTTAACAATTATGGATAATCAAAGTTTTATCAAAACATTTATATTCATATAAAAACCCAGAATGTTCTAGATAATTTATTATTAACATATCCACATCTGACAGTTTTGTTATCTCAGGAAATTTCAGTGTAACCAAATTAATCCAAACTTTAATTCAGTGCAACTGAATTAAAGCAAACTCACTAAATTGACTGAAGAACTTCCATGGAGGTATATCTCTGTGTGTAGAAACACAGAGGAGAGAGAGATTGCCTTGCTTCGTGAGATGGCTGTGGAGGGCATCCGGAGGAAGGCTAAGCAGAGGTGTTTGTGGAGTCATTTGGCCTCATTAATAGATTTTTTTCCATCCTGTGAAACCTGTGTCCTGTAACCTTCTTGTCCTCTCTCTCCGCCTTTCATTTTCTTAGCTATAAAGTACAAATCCACCTACAATGCAGGTGATGCAGAAAACGGGGGTTTGATCCTCTGTTTGGGAAGATTCCCTGGAGGAGGTCGTGGCAACCCACCCCAGAATTCTTGCCTGGAGAATCCCATGGACAGAGGAGCCTGGTGGGCTACAGTCCACGGGTTGCAAAGAGTGCAACACGACTAAGGGATGGAGCACACACACAGCACAAAGTATGAAGGATCCAGAATTACTATTCTGGTGGAAATGATTCCAGCCAGGATGTGGGATTAGCTCGTGGCACATTTGAAAAGAATGAGCAGGGCTCACTGCCCTCTGTCATCTACCCATGAACTTCCTCACAGGGAAGAGTTCTTGTGCTTAACTCCCCCAGGGCCAGGGGGCAGGGGGCGAGACCAGCCTCAGCTAGCGTTGGCAGGACTGAGTGGGACGAAAGCTTCCAGTTCAGGTGCCCTGTTAGCAGGATCATGTGATGAACAGACCTTGAATCAGGCCACCCGAGTAGGTCTATCTTAATAATGAAAATGATTTTTGTTCAAAGTCAGATGAAGAAAAAGGCTGATATTCCCCTTTAGATAAGCAAAACTACCTATTGTTATTTCTTACCCTTATGGGTTTTTTTTTTCTTATTAAAATTTTTTTTATTATGAACTGAGTTTATTTTATTTTATTTTCCATTTGGTTTTATTAGTTGGAGGCTAATTACTTTACAGTTTTGTAGTGGTTTTTGCCATATATTGACATGAATCAGCCATGGATTTACATGTGTTCCCCTTCCCGATCCCACCTCCCACCTCCCTCTCCATCCCATCCCTCTGGGTCTTCCCAGTGCACCAGCCCTGAGCACTTGTCTTATGCATCTAACCTGGGCTGGCGATCTGTTTCACCCTTGATAGTATACTTGTTTCAATGCTGTTCTCTCAGAACATCCCACCCTCGCCTTTTCCCACAGAGTCTAAAAGTCTATTCTGTACATCTGTGTCTCTTTTTCTGTTTTGCATATAGGGTTATTGTTACCATCTTTTTAAATTCCATATATATGTGTTAGTATACTGTATTGGTGTTTATCTTTCTGGCTTACTTCACTCTGTATAATGGGCTCTATTTTCATCCATCTCATTAGAACTGATTCAAATGAATTCTTTTTAATGCCTGAGTAATATTCCATAGTGTATATGTAAATTTTATCTTTATCTTTTTTAAGAGAATCATCTTTAGGGTATAAGATGCCCTGTCATTTAGTTTAGTCTTGTAGTTCTTAAGAGGCTGGCAGTGCATTGAGAAGAAGTTCCCCGGGGATGAATACAAGTAGAATTAGGACATTTATTTCCAGTCAATGGAGGAAAAACAAGTTTCAGAGTCGGTATAATTTATCCTCAAGTTCTGGAGTTCTGGGCCACACTGGAGCCTTTAAAGTTCATGCATGTGTTGTAGAGTTTAAAGAGACTACAGTTGGCTCCTATCAAGGAGATTTTGATTTGGGAGCTGGCGTTGGATAGGGAAAAAATACCCACCACTTTCTACAACATCTTTTCTCTTCATTACATACGCCAATGGGCTGTTCTATGCTGGTGCAGCCTCCGTCTTTGCACACCCCTTTCAGCAGATTACATTGTTTCTGTCCGGGGATAAGGCCAGTCCTTGCTGCACAGAAAGAAATGTACCAACGTCATTAATTCACCATCCATGTATTGATAATGTACATAAAGCAATACATTTACAGAAGAATGGCTTCAAGATAGAATAAATGATATTAATACCCTTTATCTATTTCTACACAGATTCTGGTGGTTCCTCAGGCTTCATTCTGTTTGGGTACCTCAAAAGATAAGGATCTCAGGATTAGAAAAGAAGGAAGCTACCCTACACTTGAAACTCCTTCTGTGGCAGAACCAGGAATAGAAACTCTAAAGAAAGAATTGCGGAAGTAGTGTTAAAAAAGGTAAGACACCTCAGGCTCATAGGCTGCCTAAAACCTGTAGATGATCCTACTTTAAGGGTAAACTGAAACTCCTGGCTGATAGAGATACTAGTGATCTACCACTTCCCAGTGTAAAGTTTGGTGAACTTGCCCTTCTGGTTCATTTTTGTTTGTTTGTTTTTGGCTACACTGTGTCTTTGTTGCTGCGGCCAGGCTCTCTTTTGCTGTGGCAAGTAGGGGCCACTCTTCATGTGGGGCAGGAGCTTCACCTTGCAGTGGCTTCTCTTGTTGCAGAACATGGGCATTAGGGCACTCAGGCTCAGTAGTTGTGACACACGGGCTTACTTGCCCTGTGGCATGTGGGATCTTCCCGGACCAAGGATTGAACCTGTGTTCCCTGAACTGGCAGTCGGATTCTTAACCACTGGGCCAGTAGGGCAGTCCTCGCCCTCATTCTTGAAGCATCCCTACAGATTTAGCATTGGCTTTTGTAGCTTTTCCTGGGGCATAATCCCATGAAATGCGTGGCACATTTTCTGGTACAAACTACTGCTCTCTTCTAGGGGCCTTCTTGCCGTTCCTTGCACACACTATGTGTTCTTCTGCATCAGGGAAATTACACTGGCTTCTTCCTTTGCCAGAAGCATTGAGGGCTCCTTGCAAGTGCTTTATCCATGAACGCTTACCTTCTAGTTTTCAGCTTAAAAGGCATACCTCAAGAAATTCTTCCCAAATGTTGCAAATCGACCATGACCACATGCTTCAGGCACTTTTAATACTCTGCTCCTCTTCATTGTACTTGGTAAAATTTATTATTATAGATAAATTTGTTTTCGTTTACCTAGTGTCTGTCTTTTGTACTGTGGGAAGACGCCCTTCCTTTTGCTTCCCATTTGCATCTTTTGTATTTCCCATAGCCCATGGAAATGGGTGCTCTGTACACACTTCTTACCACTGAATGCAGTTACGTGTTCTTTGATGCCACACACACTATTTGTCTCTTATTCCTTCTAAAACTTCCTGGCTCCAGCCTGTTTTTGACTGTCTGGTCCTCACTCTTGGATATGCAATTGTATTTGTGGGTGTCTAGTCTTATTATTACCCTATGAACTTCTCTAAATCTTAGGCCTAGATTTCTTGGAGTCTTATTTTCCTGTCAGTTTTTTCTGGTCTTTGTTCTAGGATAATATTTTTAAAAATTGTTTTTCACCCTAAGACTGAACCACTGCCATATCCTTTTTCCTACTCCAGTGATGACTTTTGGCTGGATCTTTACTTCCAGGAGAACTATCCCACTTAACGTTTTTTTTTTAATTTAAAAAAAAAAAGGCCCTTAACATGGGGTACGTATGACTTTGGATGGAGACAGTCATTTATGTTGAACTGAATTTAGCTTAAGTGGTGGAAAGCAAGCATGAGCAAAAAATTTTTAAAAATAAAATAAAATATTCACTAGTCAATCATGCAGACATAATTGTCTTGAGGCAATTGCTTTCAGCAATCTGAGAATTTATCACTATTATCTAATTTTAAGGAACACTGATCAGGAAAATCTAAAGACTAGTATAAGTTGTCTGAATAACAATGCCAGAATATTAAGCCAATTGGACATGCCTACCACAAACACTGAAGAGAAAGAGTATAGAGTTAAGTGAAGAAACATGTTTCAAAGACATTGTGACTCCCCAAAGAGGAACCTTAAAAATCTTCTCAGGTTCCTCAGTGTCTAATTAGGAGATTAAAAACCCTGACAGAAATTAGAGTTACCACTCTGTGGGCACAGAGTAATGGAAACAACACTGACCCAGATTAAAAATACTTGGTTCAAAAATGAAGTCCTACTGTAAAACACACGGAGCACTGCTCAATGTCATATGTGGCCAGGATGGGAAGGCAGTTTTGGGGGAGAATGGATTCATATATATGTATGGCTGAGTCCCTTTGCTATCTACCTGAAGCTATCACAACATTGTTAATTGGCTATAGTCCAATATAAAATAAAAGTTAAAAAGAAATACTCAGTTCCAGCTGCAATGTTGCCCCTACCTACGTGACCTTACTGAAAACACTCTTTATGTGGACATGGATCTTCTTATCTGTAAAATTAAGAAATTAACTATTAGTTGCCTTCTATCTTTAAGTCCTTAACATCGTATAATTTTACGTTAGCTGTCACTGCGAGTGTGTCGTCTTCTGACAGAACTGAGGGCCAGATGAAAATTATGTGAACTCCCTCAAGAGTTCACAAATCAAGGGGGCAACTGTACATCAGAGTTTCTAAGATATTCATAGATCAGGTAAAGATCAAACAAGTCAATATATTCGATTGTATTCGAAGGAATGTGATTCAAGGAAGAGAGAATTACCCTAATGAACCCAGATGTTGAGAGGTGGAAATACCCTGCCATAAACAGTTTTACAAGGATGTGAACAACCCAGGCTGAAAATGACACATTCCCTTCCTCCTTTATCTACACTTTAATATTCCAACTTCTCAGTCATGAGCACCAAGGATGTACCTCTAACTGTTAGAATTCCTTCCTTCTTATTTTACATTATGCTTAAAATTTTGCCACTGAAGTGCCATCCCAAATTTCTGTGCTTTTCCAAATTCCCCTGCCCCCTGTTGGTTTTAAATAACTTGATAAAATTCTCTTTTGTTGTTGGTGGTGTTGAGTTGTCTTACACACCTAACTTGCACCCTTCACAAATATTCCTTTGCCAATAGACTCCAGGTCACTTTGATTCACTAACCAAGTCTGACCCAATAGCTGCCATTTCCACTGTCTCTTTTGGAGATGGGGACCCTTGTGAAAACTTCTTGATTTGTATACTTGTGTCAGATGTCAAGGCTTCTCCCCCTCCCCCTATATTTGAGCTGCCTTTTGTAATCATGGAGCTCTTGGAACTTGTTTTCTGTTGGTGGAAATCCTTGTCTTTCTTCCCAATTTGGACCCCTTCAGTTCTAAGGAGGACGCTCATGTTGGACCTCTGTATCCCTGAGACTGTGCATTAGGGTCTCAGTCAAGATGGCCGTGGTATAACTCAGTGTCCGAGTAGGTCTCCTAAGAAACCCAGCTCTACAGTTGTTTGCCACCTACCTTTTGGTATTAGAGCCAAAGAGAGAAGGAGAACAGAAAGCAATAAACGGAGTCTCATGGTTGAATGCCTGGTAGAGAGCAGTGAGTAATCAGGAACAGCAGGATACAGCACCTTTTATTTACTTCTGCAGACCAAGAGTCCTTTTAGTCAGTGAAGCTTAACAAATAAGAAAACAAAACAGCTTCCACTGGAATGTTTCCAAACCCTGGGCTCTCTAAATTTGGTGACAAATTAACCTAACCACTGGAGACCAGATGGCTTATCCTGTACTTTTTCTGTGGGCTCTCACATTTTTCAGAGGTCAGTATCTCTGACCAGCATCTTTTGAAGGATCACTGAGTGCAAAGTCCTGCTTACCACAAAGTCCTCTGTGTTGCAAGGGGACTCTTTATCATATGAGGAAGAAAATAATTGCCTAAGGTCTATTTCTGGAAAAAAGAAGCTGTACTTTTAAGTTATTTCTTTAAAAGAGAGGCCAGTATCACACATATATTATGTTCTTAGTAGCATCTGAAAGGTAAATACACTTAGTTCACATTGAAAACTAAAATTTTCTCATCTGTTATAACCCTTTGTATAATTGTTCCATATGACAAGGTTGGTGAGAACAGAAGAGTCAAAGAGCACAGTATTTCCTCAGTCACCACGTATTGTCTAAAGACTCTATGCCAAATGCTTAAGGAGATCTGCAGCCTTTCCATATAGCCAAAGCTATGGTTTTTCCAGTAGCCATGTACAGATTTGAGAGTTGGAGTGTAAAGAAGGATGAGCACCAAACAACTGATGCTGTTGAACTGTGGTGTTGGAGAAGACTCTTGAGAGTCCCTTGGACTGCAAGGAGATCCAACCAGTTCATCCTAAAGGAGATCAATCCTGAATATTCATTGGAAGGACTGATGCTGAAGCTGAAGCTCCAGTACTTTGGCCACCTGATGCGAAGGACCAACTCATTAGAAAAGACCCTGATGCTGAGAAAGAGTGAGGGCAGGAGGAGAAGGGGACGACAGAGGATGGGATGGTTGGATGGCATCACCATCTCAATGGACATGAGTTTGAGCAAGCTCTGGGAGTTGTTGAAGGACAGGGAAGTCTGCTGTGCTGCAGTCCATGGGGTCACAAAGATTTGGACATGACGGAGCAACTGAGCAACAACAGTCTTTCCACCTAGCATATGGAAACAAAGTATATGCCTAAAGCCTTTGGCCAGTAACGAATTGACCTAAAACCAATTTATCTAAAGTTCATTTACCTACTGATCAATGGCTTTATGACACATTTATCTAAATTCACTTACTTTTGCATTTATAAGCTTTCATATGTAATTGCTTTGAGGGGAAATTATTCTATACTTCTATGTCTTCTCTTATGACTGTCCTTTGCTTAGTTGCTTAGCCATTTCTGACTCTTTGCAACACTTTGGATGGTAATCTGCAGGCTCCTCTGTCCTAGGGATTCTCCAGGCAAGATTACTGGAGTGAGTTGCCATACCCTCCTCCAGGGGATCTTCCCATCCCAGGGATCAAACCTGCATATCTTCTCCTGCATTATTAGCAGCTGGGTTCTTTACCATTAGCGCCACCCGGAAATGTTTATTAACTAATGTGTTTACTTATTTAATGTATTTTTACGAATTGAGATACAGCTGACACAGAACATTGTGTAACTTTAAGGTGTTCAGTTCAGTTCAGTTCAGTCGCTCAGTCGTGTCCAACTCTGTGACCCCATGAATCACAGCACGCCAGGCCTCCCTGTCCATCACAAACTCCTGGAGTTTACTCAAACTCATGTCCATTGAGTTGGTGATACCATCCAGCCATCTCATCCTCTGTCGTCCCCTTCTCCTCCTGCCCCCAATCCCTCCAAGCATCAGGGTCTTTTCCAATGAGTCAACTCTTCGCATGAGGTGGCCAGAGTATTGGAGTTTCAGCTTCAGCATCAGTCCTTCCAATGAACATCCAGAACTGATCTCCTTTAGGATGAACACCCAGGACTGATCTTCTTTAGGATGGACTGGTTGGATCTCCTTGCAGTCCAAGGGACTCTCAAGAGTCTTCTCCAACACCACAGTTCAAAAGCATCAATTTTTCGGTGCTCAGCTTTCCTCACAGTCCAACTCTCACATCCATACATGACCACTGGAAAAATCATAGCCTTGACCAGACAGACCTTTGTTAGCAAAGTAATGTCTCTGCTTTTTAATATGCTATCTAGGTTGGTTATAACTTTCCTTCCAAGGAGTAAGCGTCTTTTAATTTCATGGCTGCAGTCACCATCTGCAGTGATTTTGGAGCCCCCAAAAATAAAGTCTGTCACTGTTTCCACTGTTTCCCCATCTATTTGCCATGAAGTGATGGGACCAGATGCCATGATCTTAGTTTTCTGAATGTTGAGCTTTAAGCCAGCTTTTTTACTTTCCTCTTTCACCTTCATCAAGAGGCTTTTTAGTTCATCTTCACTCTCTGCCATAAGGGTGGTATCATCTGCATATCAGAGTATGTCAGTTTGATACATTTACATATTATAGGATAATTGCCACCACCGTGTTAGCTAACACTTCTTCTAGGTCACCTTTTTCTTTCTTTTTTTTTTTTTTTGTGGTGAAAACAAGATTTAGTTTCCTATTACTTTGAAGTTTATAATACAGTATTATTGACTATTATCACTATTTTGTGCCTTAAATCTCCAGAACTTACTTATCTACTAGTTGTAAGTTTGCACCCTTAAATAGGGAGAAGAAAATGGCAACCCACTCCACTATTCTTGCCTGGAGAATAGCATGGACAGAGGAGCCTGGAAGGCTACAGTCCACGGGGTCGTAAGAGTTGGACACAACTTAGCAACTAAACCACCACAACCTCCCTTAAATAACATCTCCCTAACTCCCCCACCCCAAGCCCCTGGTAACCACCATTCTGCTCTCTGTTTTTACAAGTTTTGCCTTTTTACATTCCACATAAAAGTGGTATCATACAATATTTGTCTTTCTATGTTGAACTCACCTCACTTTGACATAATGCCCTCAAGGTACATCTATGTTGGTGGAAATGACAGGATTTCCTTTTTTTCTCATGACTGAATAATATGTTATTGTATATGCACACCCTATCTTCTTTATCCATTCATCCATTGGTGGACACTTGGGTTGTTGTCATATCTTTTGTGAATAATACTGGAATGCTGGAATGTGGGAGTGCAGATAATTCTTCAAGATTCTGATTTTATTTCCTTTGTGTATATACCCCAAGGTGAGATTACTGGATCTATATAGTGACTCTATTTTTACTTTTTGAAGAATATCCATGCTGTTTTCTGTAATGACTGAATCATTCTACATTCTACTAACAGTGCACAAGTTTCTCTTTTCTCCACATCCTCACCAACACTTGTTATCTTGTCTTCTTAATGATAGCCATTATGGTAGGTGTGCAGTAATAGTTCATTGTGGTTTTGATTTGCATTTCCTGATAATTAGTGATATCGAGACTCTTTTCATGTACGTGTTGGTCATTTGTATGTTTCTTTGGAAAAATCTGTTCAACTTCTTTGACCATTTTTTTAAAAATTGGGTTATTCGGTTTTTGTTTTTGAGTTGTATGAGTTCTTTACATATTTATACATATTAACCCTTATCTGATGTATCATTTGCAAATATTTTCTTACATTCTGTAGCCTTTTCATTTTTTAAATTTTTGTTTATTTGTTTTTGGCTGCACTGGGTCTTTGTTGCTGCATGCGGGGTACTCTCTAGTTATGGTGCGAGGGCTTTTCACTGTGGTGGCTTCTCTTTTTGTGGAGCATAGGCTCTAGGCACACACTCTCAGTAGTTGTGGTTCATGGGCTTAGTTGCTCCATGGCATGTGGGATCTTCCCAGACCAGGGATGGAACCCATGTCCCCAGCACTGGCAGGCAGATTCTTCTCCACTGTAAATCCACCTTTTCATTTCTGAAGATTGTTTTTTTTGCAATGCAGAGCTTCTTTAGTCTGATGTATTCCCGCTTGTTAATTTTTGCTTGTTGTTTTTGGTGTCATATCCCTAAACATCTTGTTGCCAAGGCAAATGTCAAGTTTTCCCCTGTTTTCTTTTAGTTTTATGGTATAGGGTCTTATATTTAAGTCCTTAATTCATTTCAAGGTAACTTTTGTTAGTGGTATAAGGTAGGGGTACAATTTCAGTGTTCTCCATGTGATTATCCAGTTTTTTCAACACCGTTTATTGGAGAGATTGTCATTTCCCCATTGAGTGTTCTTGTCACTTGTCAAACATTAGTTGATTTCATAAATACTGCATTATATGATGAAAGAAGGGGAGTCTTCACTACCAAACCACACTTCCTTAATCATCGAAGTTTTCCATGTGACTAAAACAGACTCCTTCTAAGGACAACTTTGAGGTATGTAGTTGAACTCAAGTCCTAAGGGCATTCAAGGAAAGTAAGGCCTTATGACTCTAGGGAAGAAAGTGAAGTTGTAGTCAGAAGTTGTGACAGATCAAAAATCTATTTAAAAGGGTATTGACAGCATACCCTGAGAGAGGTTACTGTGTTTTTCACAGTAAAATGTTTAGGTTCTGGAAAAGAGAATTATTTGTGTAGAAGAAAACAATTGAGAATCTCTAAGTTATCACAATGTTTCCTCATTGCAGGAGGACATCAATATCTTTTTTTGTTAACTGAGGTTTTATTTGTTAGTATACTTATTTCTGTTGGTCTTAAACCTTCTGTTCCTTCCCTTTTGATCTCATCTCTTTGCAGTTATCTGCCATGCAGTTATAATACTTATATATCACCTCAAATTATTTCCTCTTGCCTCATTCCAGTTTTCTCCCCCTTCCCTATTTATATCTCCTCCACTCCCAGATCATTTCTAGATTTGGTTTTTGCATTTTCTTTGAACTCTCTGTGTGTCTATTTAATTGCACTGTATATAAAGTTATCTTCATCTTTGCAACTTGTTGGTTAATTTTGTTTTTATCTTTTTGTGACAAATTTTTAAATATTTGTTAAATAAATGGGCTTTCTTACTTTTTTTCTTATGTTTTTCATTGAAGTATAATTG